TTGCTGCAAAAAATGAGTAAGTAAAGGATTTCTCATTCCCAAAGGAGGCTGCCTGCTCATCTCTGCATGATGGAGTACTGCTCTAGCTTTGCCTTCTTCCAGACAGCCTCCACTGGGAGCAGGAAACTCTGCCCCGTCTCTGCTTCTGGATAATGCAGACCTGACCTGCTTTCAGAGGAGGCTGTGCTAATCAGGGTTGCCAAACTCCAGGTGGGGCCTGAAGAGCTCCCAGAATTACAAATGATCTCTAGATGACAGAGATCAATTCCTTTGGAGAAAATGGCTGCTTTTGAGGGTGGACACTATCGAACATGACATTGAGCAAATTTCAGAGGACAGCGGAAGACAGGAGGGCCTGGCGGGAGCTGGTCCATGGGGTCGCGAAGAGTCGGACTCGACTGTGCGACTGAACAACAACGACAACAACAACTATGGCATTATAACTTGCTGAGGTCCCTCCCTTCCCCAAACCCTGCCCTCCCTAAGCTTCACTCCCAAATCTCCAGAATTTTCCATCCCAGAGCTGGCAACCTTTATTTGATGTCTCTAAACGGCCCCCCTGCTGGCATCCCAAAATTACAAAGAGGCTTAGTAGGAGCTGGCCCCCTTTGAGATTGTATAGGTCTTACTCTTTCATTCTGTAAAAGGAAAGTAGATTCCAACTTCAATTCAGGGGAAGAAAGCAGAAGTTTGGGAAACACTGTTGGAAACACTGCTGGGCCTGCTCTCCATCTGCCTGCAATATCTCTGCAAGAAGACAGTAAAGAAGGGCATCTGTAAGCAAAACATCCCACTGAGATTCTGACATAAAAGACGTTTGAAGGTAGTTGCCTCTCCCATCCATGAAACCATCCCTATTAGCTTGAGAAAACCTCCCGCTTGCTTTCTCTCGGAGTAATTAAGAGTCACCCCCTTCTCCTGTGACCCTGGTGGTGCTCCCCTCTCGCTTTCTGATTTCCACATGAAAGGATTCCTCAGGGAGGGGGTGGGGTTCCCCCCCACATTTTCGCATTCACAAGGAGGCCAAGACATAAATAAATCCTTCTCTGAAAACAAGGGCTTGTATGGAGTCTGTGGCCGAATGCATGTGTATGAAAGGGAATTTGTGTGTGAAGCAATCACTGCCCAGAGGAGGGGGTCGGGTGGCAAGAGGAGAGGAGCTGATTAGCAAGTGCAGGCGGCTGTACCCGCCTCAGGAGCTGAGAGGTGGTGTAAAAATAGGTATTTATTGTGTGGGTGATTGTGATGGCATTTCCACAGCGTTGTTAATGTATGTGGTGCTTGAAATAGTTTCATGAGCAAAAAAAAAGGAAAGGAAAGGGCAGTCTACTTTTTGTTACTGTGGAGTGACCAGAAGGAAAGGAAGAAACAGGAGGTGAAAAGTAGGGTTGCCAACCTCCAGGTGGGGCCTGGAGATCCCCTGGAATTACAAATAATCTCCCAACAACAGAGATCCATTCCACTGGGGAAAAAATACCTTCTTTTGGAGGGTAGACTATGTCAGTATACTCTGCTGAGGTCCCCAAACCCTGCCCTTCCAAGGCTCCACCCCCTAAACCCCAGGAATTTCCCAACCTGGAGTTGGCAACTGTAGATAAGATTGAGCAAATGCAGGTTTGCTTCTAGACATCTCCTTATTTCTCTTTTCATCTATGTCCAGCCAAACTAGTCACGACAATAAAACACTGATTAAGCCAGTCTTGCTGCCAGTAGTAAGCAAGTCTCACTAGCTGCCAATTTGCTTCTATGCATAATTCAAGGGTGTCCATGAAGAACATTGTGGATGCAACACAGTCAGAAAATGTGTCCTTATTTCTGGCATTTAGTTTCCTAGAGGGATATCAGCCTGTCAGATAAAGAAAGGAAAAGGTCTCTCATCAGAGAGGTTGCTGTATCTCTGTACCCCCCTAACTAGAGTTACACTCTTTTAAACCCATTGACTTCAATGAGTGTAGAAGGATGTAAACCCTGCTTAGGAGGGCACTGTCAGTCTGTTTCAGCAAAACAACAAAACCATCTTGTGTTACCTTAAAACTAACACAGTATGATACTATGCAGCCTGGAATAACGCTGCATAGGATTGGACTGTTAGCATGGCAGAAGCTTTTTGTAGGCTAAAGCCCACTTCAGCAGAAGACAGTTAATGAACAAGGGCTTAACTTAGAACTGTCTTGCCCATCACATTAACTAACAACAGCTCTCCAACTTCTGAGGCCAAAGTTTCCCCAGGTCTATTGCTAGAACTTCTCCTTCCCCTTTACCATTCTCTGCTGGCAGGTATGCCCAGTTTGGCCTGGCCACACCTTCTTTGTTTCAAGATGGGGGAGGCTAATAATTTTGTGGGACTAGTGCTAACAAGTTACAAGGGACAGAGGCTGAGGATAGGGTTGAAGAGACATGGTGTTATGTTATGCCAGCTGCCCAGGATGGTAAGAAGCAGCAGAAGCCTGACCTTCTCTCACACCTGAGTGATACACCAAGGACTCTTTGAGAAGCTGTTTAAGATCTGTGGAGGGTTTCTGAGACTTCTTGGGCACCCAGCAGAAGGAGAAAAGACTGCTCCTTCACCCAGATGCTTCTGCAAAGTGATATATAGACTTGTGGGGCAGGATTGAACAGGATACCCAGAGAGCTGATTGTGAAGTTGATTGTGGGTTGTTGTTGTTTTATTCCTGGGGGGGAGGACTGTTCGACAGGCATGCATATTCATGGAGCTGCCTTACGCCATTGGTTTATCAAAGTTAGTATTGGCTGCACTAACTGGCAGTAGCTCTCTGGGGCCTTCGGTAGAGGACTTCCACATCACCTGTTACTCAATCCTCTCTAAACTAGAGATGCCAGTGAATGAAGCTTGGACTTTCTCCACACCAAGCAGGTGTTCTACCCCTGCCCCAAGTTTACTAAAGGACACTTCATATATATTCTTTAAAAAAGAGTTCCAGGGCCCAGTTTGAAAAAATTGGGTTTAATGCAAGAGCTCCCTCTTGTGCCCTTTGTGAAAAACAGTGCAACAAAGATGGGTTAAAATACGCTGTTCCATAACGGCTACTCCTGGTGTTCCACTCTGGAACTGGTTGCCCTGGGAACAGTGTGTATATCCTAGGGAATGTTTCTTTGAACTAAACTGTGGAGAACTTATCAGAGAAATGGACTGGGCCTCTTAACCACCTTTTTTTCTGTCAAAGTTTGAGCTCAGTGGCACCTTTAAGACCAACAAAGTTTTATTCAAAGTATAAGCTTTCATGTGCAACCACTTTTTCAGAAGAAGTGTGCTTGCATATGAAAGCTTATACTCTGAATAAAACTTTGTTGATCTTAAAGGTGCCTCTGGACTCAAACTTTGTTCTGCTGCTTGAGACCAGCATGGCTACCCACCTGAATCTTTCTTTCTACCAGTTTCTCTTCCCTCCTCAGGGTCAAGCTAGATACCATGGAGATCATAGAACTACATGCCATTTTAGAAGCTATATTTCAGGCAAATCAGAGATGCTGAAGGAAGGGAGGGGGAGAGTGTTCCATTCTTCCACCTTGCACATTTTTGCCTTTTAATCACTATTATTTTATGTTATTTGTTTATATGTTCATGACAGGTTTTTAATTGTAGTGTATTTTACGAAATGTCCTGTAAGCCGCCCTGAGCCCGTCTTGGCAGGGAGGGCGGGATACAAATTGAATGAATTAATTAATTAATTTTAAAACCACTTTTGCTCCTACTAGCCTTACAAAAAAGATGGACTTTTCCCCACCATGGAATGCATCAGGGTGGGGAAATAGCTTTTGCATTGGTTTGGCCCCATGTCCCGCCTCCCAACAGAGATCAAAATGGCTTCAGAGGACTTCTTGACCCTTTCCAAAAAACAAACCAGCAGCATGCCACATTTCCCCTGCCCTGCAAAATGGAGGAGTAGAAGAGTTGGTTTTTATACCCACTCTTCACTGCCCCGTCTCAGAGCGGCTTACAATCGCCTTCCTCTCCCCACAACAGACACCCGGTGAGGTCGGTGGGGCTGAGAGAGCTCTGACAGAATTGCTCTTGAGTGAACAGCTCTGAGAGAACTGCGACTGACCCAAGGTCACCCAGCTGGCTGCATGTGGAGGAATGGGGAATCAAACCCAGTTCTTCAGATTAGAGTCTGCCACTCTTTACCACTATGCCAAAGGGGAGGGAAGTGGAGTATACAAAATTGAAAGGAATGGAGCCGGTCCAAGAGGAATTTTACTGCCAGTGGGCTGCGGCATGCGCTCATCCCACCTGCATCTTTGGGATAAACAGATTTTGCAGTTCTTTCAAACACACACACATATGCGCACCCCATAGTGTCAATAGGGGGTGTCTCACCCTGTTCCTAATGAGCTAATTTCCCTAGTCTTTGGAGAACAATGAGAGGCAGGCTGCACAAGCAAACAAAGCAGGTTCTTGAGGAAGCAGTATTTCTCGCACACTGTAATTCAAGAAGATAGTTCCAGGTGGGCAGCTGTGTTGGGCTGAAGCAGTAGAACAAATTTAGAGTCCAGTGGCACCCAACAACGATTTATTCAAGGTATGAGCTTTTGTGTGCATGCACACTTTTTCAAATACATCATCTTACATGTTCATTTGCTGTTCAGCCTCTGTCTACAAGTTTGAACTCTTACCTTCTGTTCCAAGGTATTTGAAAAAGTGTGCATGCACACGAAAGCTCGTACCTTGAATAAACCTTTGTTGGTCTTAAAGGTGCCACTGGACTCTAAATTTATAATCCAAGAAGTACACCTAGAAACACTAGCAGCGTTGGGATCCATCTCTCGGACCATACAAACACAGCAACTTAGGACAGTTGAAAATTCACTTATTTTGATTCAGGAGGAAGAAAGAGATTATTTTCATCCTCACAAACTTAATTAAAACAACAACTCCGCAACTTTATTGAAGAGCCGCAAATGGAAGGGCGCATGCGTACTGCATAGATCCATACTTCTAAAAGACGTCGTCCGCCACACTTCTCTAGCCTATAAGCCTGATGACGCCATCGGTCCGCGTCGGTCTCATCACATATTTCCTGTTCCGGGTTGGAGGTGGCGACTGGTGTCCTTTTTCTGGTTGTACGCGTAATATGGCTTCAGTGGCGGCGCTCGTCAAAGTTTCTGGGAGGCTTGTGGCCGAGGCTCCCCGAGCAGGACTGAGACGGCTGCTGTCGGCAGCTGCAGCAGGGGGCCATGGACAACCTGGGGGCGGTAAGCTAGCTGGGCACGGGTTGCGACTTGATGACCTTGAGACAGTGGGAGTTCTTCTCAGCCACTGGATGGAACCTCCATGAGTAGAGGTAGTGTACGTCAGATGCTGTGGAAAACCGTCTCCTGTTCCTGGGCTTCCCGGAGGTACCGGCCAATGTGGGAAATCAGGCTGTTGGGCTAGCCGTGCTCGCCCTTCTCCTTCCTTCCCTACATTCTTGGAATAGCGTTGTTCTTAGGCTCAGCTAGTGTGCTGTGCTAAGAGGCACACGGTGATAAAGTGCTTAGATACAGAATAGGCCTAGCTCTGGATCAGAATTGCAAGGATCTCAGGTGCTTGGTTCATGAGTACTTCTAAATGTGGTTTTTAAAGCTGACATTCAGATATAGATGTAGAGACAGCCCCCCCCCCCCCCGAAACATTGGGGAGACGATTTTTTTTTCTTCAGGACTGTTCAGTTTTCCACAGAAAAACTGGAAACTTTGAAATCTGAAAAAGCTATACAATATTTTCTTGTAATTTTTAAGTCAAGCTTTTACTAACTCAGAATATGTAGTGTGTGGCACAAAAATCTTCTGCCTACAGCATTAAACAGTAATTCATGCATGTACTATAGCCATGCAACATTTTCAAACATATATATATTTAAATGTGATTAATTTTTGGCAGTTAATATGGTATAACATGTATGATGATACACTATTGAGTAGTTGGATGTTCTCAGTGTTAGAAATTTTAACTTGATATCCAAATGTATTACTAGCACTGTTATAACTGTATGAGACTATTTCTATCCAAAGAACACATTCATTTCTTTACTGAGAAATTTTCTATTTGAAGTTTTATTTTTTCCTGCTTCTCATATAACAAAAAGTAAGGTACATGTGCTATGGTAGCATAGGGTACAGTAGTAGCTCTCTCTGTCTTCAGTACTGGTAAGAGTCCAGTAGCACCTTAAAAACTGACACAATACGTGGCAAGGTATGAGCTTTTGTGAGTCAGTGCTCACTTCTTCAGAAGTGAAGAATCTGAAGAAGTATTTGAAGAAGTGAGCAGTGACTCACGAAAGCTCATACCCTGCTACATATTTTGTTAGTCTTTAAGGTGCTACTGGACTCTTGCTCTTTTCTGCTGCTACAGAGAGAACCGGCTACCCATCTTGATCTATTTTCAGTACTGGGTGTTTTTCAGTTTTCTTGTATATAAACTAATTCACAAAACCAAACAAGGACCCACGGTAAGTAGGAAAACCAATATACAACAAATACCGTGCACAGATGATTATAACATATCATAAATAATTTTATATTTTTTGAAAAATATTTTTACAATAATTTCATATATAATTATAAATCATCTTAATCAAAAATATCAAAAATCATCTCCAAGAATTCCCGCCGAAGATGCACATTAAAAAAGTACGTGGGACGACCTACTGGCAAATGGTTTGCCACAGGCTGCATGTGGATTCCCCTGGTGTGATTCCGCGGGCGCACAGCTTTCTCCCCCATTGTCCTGTTTGCCGCGGGTGCCAAAGGAGGAAGCCACCGTCGCGTCTGAACGCATAATCATGGATCAAACTGCGACGGCACAAATAGCCATGCCTCCCCCCACGTTATCCGGCCCTTGTGACCGGGGCCTTAGAGATCTATCAAGCTAATTTGTACTTGCTGTTCAAAGATGGTAATGCAAAGATGGTGATGCTCTGTCTTCTTGGTGCTTCCAAAGGAGGAAGCCACCGTCGCGTCTGAACGCATAATCATGGATCAAACTGCGACGGCACAAATAGCCACACTTCCCCCCACGTTATCCGGCCCTTGTGACCGGGGCCTAAGAGATCTATCAAGCTAATTTGTACTTGCAGTTCAAAGATGGTAATGCAAGCACGATTACTACTGTCTAGTTGCAGAAATCTTAATTGTGAGTTCCTGCATACTGAACTCAATGCAGTGCTGAACCTGTCATCCAGTAAATATAATGCATTTATATAGTAAGGACACAGATGACTTATTGTGTTGGAATTATGCATTTCACTCCCCCATTTAAAAAAATGTTACTGAGGTTCTGTTTGGGAATGATTTCTTTCTCAATTAGCCCGTACATGGAAGATCCTGAGCTTTGTGGTTGCCCTCCCTGGAGTTGCTGTCTGCATGCTGAACTGCTACCTGAAGGCTCAGCATGAACATGAAAGGCCAGAGTTCATTCCTTACGCGCACCTCCGTATCCGGACCAAGGTATTTGTCTTAGACCAGCATGACACCATGACATTTAATCTTTTAAACTTCAGGCTAACTGGACAGGAAGAGATGTTAATGCCTGATGATCTGAAATCTTATTTGACCCTGGTTGAAAACAAACTTGGTAAGGATTGGTAAGGAAGCAGTTTCTTATGTAATTGATAATGTTTGTTTTTCTTCAGAAAATATTTCATTTGAAGCATCTTTTAAAATGTAAGTGTATTGTAGTTTAGCCCCACCAATTCAAATAACCTTGGGTTATAAGAATTTTTTTGAAGTTTTTAACCAATTTACGCACACACCAAGCATCTTGGAAATTTGTTAAAGCCCTTACCTTAATTTCTATCCTGTGTAAACAGTAAAGGTCTTTTTAATGTTTTGCTGATTGTAGTTCTCTTCCATGTACTTTCTCCCTTGGTTTTTCATCCCCATTCCTGTTTTCTGCATCTGTATTCTATAACAGGACCCATGAGACTAAGCCCTAGACTTTCCCCTGCACCTGAAAGTCCCTAAAAGAGAGTGTGTGTGTGTGAGAGAGAGTGAGACTAACCAACTACCCTTGCTGGACTTGGAAAGTATCTTAAAAAGCAAAAGCCTGGCATAGCTGAATTTGGAAATTACCTGAGCCTAGTAAATGGTGGTTGACCAGCAAATGAATGGTATGCAAAAGAAAAACCTTTGCACTTATTTAACTAATTTGTACCCTGTCTTTCTCCACAATGGGGACCCAAAGCAGCTTACAGTGTTCTTCTGTCCTCCATTTTATCCTCACCACAACACCGTGAGGTAGGTTAGGCTGAGAGAGTGACTGGCCCAAAGTCATCCAGCGAGCTTTTATGGTACAAGTAGAGATTTGAACCCTGGCCTCCCAGATACTAGTCTGACACTCTTAACCACTACACCACACTGGTATTGAAAGCAAATGTAATTCAGCTGGTTTTATCTCATTTCTGACATCTTAACAATTTGTGTATGCCAGCATGGAAGTTTCTGTATACCAAATGTTGTATTCTGGGGACAAATATGAAGAACAATTTCTATCTGATAATGGTGTTTCCAAAGTGGTAACACCTTAACAGTGTAAAACTGTTCTCCCGGTTTTGTACTATAGGTGATACCAGCTGAAGCAGTGGCTTCTTGCAGTTAAATAGGCTGGATCTGCAATTGTTCACAGGCCTGAATTCAAAGAATAGGTCTCTGTAGTTGAAATTTTCTGTACATCCAGGGTGTCCTTACTCTGTAACACAGTACTCTTGTACTTGTGTGGATGAGCGTTGTGTAGAGAGTGGAAGAATGTCTTCATCTGCATCATTGCTTTCAAGTTAATTAGCCATTAAAGAACTAAAAATGCCTGAGCGATAGCAGGCTAAACCTCCTATCTGGTCTCCCCCCCCTGTTTGATTTGGGGTCCCTGATTTGTTGTTCACATTTTATTTTTTATTGTTTTTAATAAAAATAATTCATAAAACACAAAATGCATATGAATATACAGAAAATATAGAATGTGTCTAAAAATACAATGCCTATCTAAATCTAACTAATTAAACCCCATTTCAATATTCCTCCCTAATCATACAGAACATTTCATTAGTCGCTGTCAATACTACTATTTTACTTATACCATTATCATCTACATTCTTTGTATTGCTCTTGATCATAGAAGATCTACCTATATCTCTATTATTCCAATAAGCAGTAAATTTAACTGAAGTATATATCTGTCTTTTCCAACCAATCTTGTAATTTAGGAGTGTTTTTTGTTTCCATTGCCTGGCGGAAACCAGCCTGGCAGCAGTAATCATATGTAAAACAACCATTTGTTGATCTTTAAAAGTGTCAGGCAGAAAATTCAACAATAAAGTCTCTAGTCTATGGGAGATTTGTACTTCTAACCCTATTGAGATAGCTTTCACCACTAATTTCCAATAGTTAGAAGGTCGTATACATTCCAACCACAAAAAAAATTGCCCTATCTTCTTTACCACACCAGCACATGCTGGTATTGGTATCTTTGCTAACTTTAATGGAGTCAAATGCCACCTATAAATCATTTCCAGTAAATTTTCTCTAAAAAAGAGGAAAACTGTAAAGTTAACACTATGAGTAAAGATGAATTTCCATGCTGAATCCTCTAAACTACTACCCACATTTATTTGCTACCTATTGCAAAAGGCTTGATCAGGTTTGAGTGTGGTTTTCAATAAACAGGAGTACGTACTAGAAAAGATACTTTTACCATCTGCTAGTAACAGGGGTCATATCGTAGAAAAAGAGGTGCAGGAGCTCATTAGCATAACGTATTTGCATATGCCACACCCCCTGACATCAAGTGGAAGTGTGTCAGAAGGCAACACTCACTGTTCAGCTGCCACTGGACTGTTTTGGACTGCTATCTATGGG